AGAGGTAGGTGTTAGCAAGAGAGGGGTGAGAAGGAAAATTGTGTCTATTTTCTTGACTGTTTGGCATTGAGACAACGCAGGAGCACTGCTGCAGAGAAGCTAATGAGCGCAGAGTACAGAAACCTGATCTGTAATCTTCTCACAAACAAAGGCTGCTGCCAGTTTCTTTATTTGCTCGTTTGTTCAGTCTGATTCGGGATAGTCCACCGGGGCAGCCTGCTCTTGCGGAGACAACCTGTTGCCACACTGTGGAGTCACAATGGCGAAGTCGGCTCTGCTCGGGCAAAAAAAAACCCAAAAAGAACAAAAATGTGTTTCCGCACACGTGTCTCGGAATGCCGGTTGTGTTTTAAGTGTCTGCAAGGAAGCTTGTGCTGGTGTGAGGGCTGCCCTAGAACTGTAAAGTTTTTTTTTTTACATGAACGAACCAAAAATGTGGCCACTGTTCATGGTAGGACACAAACTCTCAACCCTACGTGCCTTCTTCAGGTTACCCCACTGCAACTCAGCTGAAGCACACAAGAGAAATCTGCACGGGAATGAGCAACCCCAACTTTTTGAACACAAAGGCTTTCTGTTCCAAAGTCATGCTAAACAGATCTGCTGCCAGAGCCAGAGCGTGTGTGACACTCCTAAACGAGAGATCGACAAGGAGGAGGGAGTGGCTGGAGCACACTGCCTTTCAGCTTCACCGGATTGCCAATCCGGCGATTGTTTTATCAATGCAGAGAAGCAACTTCCTGAGAGGGTCTGTAGGTGTTTCTTCACATAATACCTTGTGCCCTGCTAACAGGGATATTTGAACCCACACAGATACAATAAGGATTCTGCACAACTTGTTTCCAAAGAACAGATTGGGGAACTAAATCTATGTCACACAATTCTTCAGGGAATCCCACGGTGAGCTGCTGTTATGCATGATCAGCAAGTCAAGGTACAAAGTCTTGATTCATGGTGAGACTGTAAATCTTCACACAAAGAACAGCATACAGTACTAAAGAGACTCTTCACGCAGACTTTATGACCTGGGCTTGTTTATCGTAAAGTCAGTCACAAGAAATATTGCCCCTCAACCACTGTCACACATTTACCCTGCATTATTTTATTATGATGAGAGCATAAAGAAATACCTTTTTTTTCCAGAATTGCACGAAAGGTATTAACTCAAGTTGTTTGTTTAAACAAAACAAAGGAATAGATGTAGTTCTACACAGTGTTAAAGGAAACACAGAGCAATGAGTAATACTCTCATTACCACATGTAACTCTGGGCATTTAGGCCAAAAGGTTTCCAATTCAGTCTTTTCTGAGCAGAACACCTTTTGCTACATGTTTGCAGTATCCCATAAACGTTCTCTTGCAAACTCTATGCAGGATCTGAGATGGATTTGCCAGTCAGCCACACAGGCCATCCCTGAATGGTGACCAAGATGTTGTTAACTCAAAGACATTTTCTCCCAGCAAATGAACTGTGTAGCTCTTTAGAAGTTGCCACGCCTCACTGTAGCATCTCTAACCTCTTTTCTCCTTGTGTTGTTGTTATACTTGGAGAGACACCATGATCTAGGCAGTGTGTAATACACCTTCCACTCCTTCATGACCAGCCTTATCAGGCACAAGGGCATATTGGATGTCTTTCAAATTCTTGTTACACCCTTCTCTTGAGCTGTGCCTTCCTATAGCTTTGAGTTGTTTTGAAAGCTCATTCCTCTTTATGGTTGAATCTCTCTTTGCAATTCACTTCCTGACTGAGGTAGCACAGCAAAGGGTTTGGACACTTGCAATCCTGACTTTTCCATTTTTATTTCAAATCATCTGTTGACTTCTGTTAATCTTGCATTGATTGTGTGGAGTAGTTCGTGTATTATTAATTCCTACCTCAAAGTGTCATGATTACAGGTTTTAAAGCAACAAAATGTAAAACATGTGTAACGGACTAAATACTTTTGACCTTAAGACCTTGAACAGAAGGCACTTTATACAAAAGGTTGTGGGAGTATGGCACAAGCTACAAGCTACCCAGCCATATTATTAAAACTGATACTCTGGCTTCTTACAGATGAGCTCTTTCGATCAGTTCAATGGCCCCCTCTCACCTGTAACCCTGCAATGGACTATCATAAACTCTTAGTTTAGAAAATGTTACAGAAATTGGGAAAAATTCCCCACTGTTTAGCCTTTTTGTATAAAGGTGAAACAGATGGGGCCCCGATACAAAGCTGCATTCCTGCATTAACAACATACAGAGAATTGCAGGCATCCCACTCAAAGACACACCAAATCCACTATGACACTTGACAGGGCAAAATATCCCCTTTTGCTATGAGTTTATAATCAGTAACTCAATCAAATCTCTGCCAAACCTGCAAAACAAAACCTCAGACACAAATACATGACTAGTTACAACATGGGAGTACTGATGTTTCTTGTTTGAGTTACAGTAAGTGTACTTGCTATAATAATATGCATCATCAAGCTATAAAGTTAGGCTGAACTGTGGGTTAACAAGCAGTATCATAAGAAGCCTCTTAGTCCTACGTATTTATGAAAATTGACTGATTATTAATTTGCAACCTATTTTATGGAAGAGCATCATAAAAACAAAAAAATATATAGTGCCACAAGCCATCTTTCAGATGAGCAGTTTTTGGCATGGAAGCCAATGTTAATAGGCGGTTAAAATTGCCCAGCTCTGTTTTAATGACTTTTTTGATGCAGTTGTTTTTGCTGTTCCTCACGTCTTTTTAGCGTTTGGTGCCAGACCTCCAAGGCTGCAGCCTTACTATTACATCATCTGGTGTCAAGGGCATCTACTCAGGACCTGGAACAGACATCTCTGACGCAATGGACAAATCCTAAGACTAGATTTCTAAGAGGCAGAGGTATTGGGAATCTTGGGGAGAAATGTTACCACCACAGTCTATGAGACCAGTATTAAAACTGAGAAAGTGCTCTCATATGGACCCAAATCTCTGATCATTGATAGTGGATTTTAATTTGTCAACATTTCCTCTCCTTGTTGTGCACCAGCCTTGCCTGTGCTCTCCCGGGCACCTGCAGGCTCACAGTGTTTTCATGAGACTCCATCAGAAGCCTTAATTCTGCTGCTGGATTCAAATAAGCTGTGTAGCACCCAGGATGCACGTTCTTTCTTCATTACTAGTGCGCCTTATACAAGCCCACTATGGAACCAGAATTTTCAAGTATGGAGGTTGCCTCAACAGGAACAAGTTATTGTTTCAGTTTCACTTCGTGTCAAAAAAGCTCAGAAGGCACCCCTAAAAATACTCACTGATGATCCCCCAAAATGTAAAAACAAATCCACTACGAAACTTGACAGGGCAAAATATCCCCTCCTGCTGTGAGCTTATCATCACTATTTCAGTCATTAAATCTCTGCCAAACCTGCAAAACAAAACCTCGCACACAAATATGTTAATAGTTATAAAATGGGAATACTGATGTTTCTTGTTTGAAATACAGTAAGTGTAAAGTGAGATGTAAGAGTGTGATGGACAGGTGCTGTGCTGCTTCTTCAGCTGCTGTGACACACTGATTCATCTCACATTAGCACAAAGCTCCTGACTACTCGCTGCTGAACGAGAGAAGGACAGAATGTCATCCCTGATTGTGCCGGTGGCATTTCCATCACTGCTCCACAAGCCTCAAACAATCAATCACAAGAATCAATATCACAATGGGGCAGAACCTTCATCTGCCGAGCCTAATGTACTCAAGAGAAGAAGATACTTTACAACCCACTGCCAGCAAACTCTGCCGGCCTGTGATGTCACTTCAGTGGACTGCAGTCGGGCACGGTATGAATGATCACGTGCTCTAAGAGTAACCGAATGGACAGGAGCAATGGTTGCTTTTGTATGAGACTACAGTAAGACCAATGTTTAAATTAGGCAGGGGTCTTAAGTTAAATTGAATTACTTCAATCAATCCTTGTAAAAACATTTACACACCCCAGACTTACAGACAGATGTCTTTCTCTCAGTAGGGAACAACCACTCACAGACTGTTTGCACAAAGGGAAATGTAGGCAACATTACAAAGCCGTGACCTTTGAGTATCAGCTTTGGTGAAATCTTATGTCCATCAGAACGCTTACAAACGAGAGGAGGCCATTTGGCCCATATAGTCCGTGAGGTGGTTAGCAGTCATTTGATCCAAAGATCTCATCCAGACATTGTTCGAAATGGTCCAGGGTTTAACATGTTCCACCCTACCACAGTTCTTTGTGAAAAGAAGAGCCTCCTGTTCTCCTGTTTTAAATGCAATTCCACATCATTTCTACAGATTCCTGTTGTGAAGAAGTCAGTTTTTGTTTGGAGATGTCAGTACCTTTGAAGAGTCCGACTACTGAAATCAAGTCCCTTTGTCACCTCCTCTGTTTTAAGATTCACTTCTTTATGCCCCTCAATGTCCTCAAAATAGGACATTCCTGTATCTTGTCACACTTTTCTGGATTCATTCCAGTGCTGCCATACCCTCTTTGTAAGGCAGTTACCAAAATTGAGCACAACATTTTAAATTAGGTTTTACCAATGCATCCTACATTTTTATCACAATTTTCTTTGAGACAAATTCTACTCTTTTAACTACATATCCTAAGATTTTGAACCCAGGAGTCAGCATTACCAGGAGAGCAGCTTCTTTGTGGTGTCTCTATAGCGACTGACATTGCAAATTCAAACAATTCAAGATTACAAGGTCCTCCAAAACTGAGAGATGCTCTTTTAACTCTTTATCTTCTGTACAAAGACAGAACAAACACCTACTCACACCCTATGTGACTGACGGATGTTAGTTAATGGCGGACACTTCAAGTACA